GCTGGGGTGAGTACTGGCACCTAGGCTGGGGGGGGGGGGAGGGGGTGTTTGGGTGGGTGCCGGTATTTTTATTTTATTTTATTTATTTATTTATTTATTTATTTATTTTATTATTATTATTATTATTATTATTATTTATTTATTTATTTTTTTCGAAAATAAAAATATCACTGTTTTTGGTTCATTTTCATGATTGTCTTTTATTGAGACGGCAGGACTTTGCAAACTTGTCAACTCACAGCTGAATAAGCTCATTGATATTATTTAAAAATGAGAAGTGTTAATTAAATTTGAGTAGTTTTAAGAGAATATTCATTTACGTAAACAACATGCTTAAATTGGAAGTGGTAATAATACTTCATCAGTAATCGAGTCAATCAACTGATTATTCGACCTTCAGATCCCCAAAACCAATGCTCCCTACCCGTCCAAAATGACAGCAGATGCCAGAAAATACTTCATTGATGAGAGCGACAAATACACCATCACCGCTTACTTCACTGACCCAGGTATGGATCAAAGGAAAAAATTTATAAACCGAAATGATTAAAAATGTTATGCTTGTGTGTGTTTATGTAGACCCATGGGCGTATCCAGGATTATTTGAAGGGGGGTCCGCGGATGCCAAGCCGACCCTCCTCCCCCCCCCCACCCCCCCCTACCCCCGTCTTGGCGTGGGGCTCGGGGCCCGCTAAAGGGCACCAAATTTTTTGGTATTTTAGAGGGAAAACAGTGCCATTTGGTACGGTTTAGAACTATGATTCATTTAGTTAAAATTCTAATTTCAAGAGGGGACCAGAAATCGAAGGGGGGGGGGGGGTCGGAACCCCCCTGACCCCCCTCTAAATCCGTCATTGTAGACCTTGCAGCCATTATACAAATACATGTATAATTGGTATAAGGGTATACTGACGGGATGCCCTCAGCTCTGTATTCCAAGATTTTGTAGAGAAACTTCTTGGTGTTTCATTTCGACTGGACGAAATTTCGTTTTACCAAACTTTTTCACTGCGCCTGGTTAACAAGTGGAACTGATGGCATAGGATTCAAACCTGTCCGTTCCCATACGTTTGGTCAGTCTAAAGAGATAGGTATCTGTCTCTTTGGTCAGTTATGTTTATCTTAAACCTCATGGTTATCACAACGTCGTGACCCTCGGATTTCACCGCACCTTACCAGGGTCAGCTTGACCTGGTCACTCAATAAAACCGAATAAATCTTAAAAAGTGGACTTTTTACCCCCTTTGTTTACCGAAATTGAGAAATGGCACAAGTCAAAAGTTAACAAGATCAACGTTTTTTCCTAAGTTAAATTAAAAGCGTGTGCAGTATTTGTATAATCATTTTGCATAGTACAACCAAATTATTCCAAAGTAAAAAGCGTTATGATGTAGACAAGTGAATATAATTTTGTTCTCAAAATTTTCATATTGCACCTAAGGTCTACGTCGCTATAAGGATTGCTATCTTTCTGCAGCTGTTTTTGAGACTTTTCTCTCTTTCTCTTTTTTTCCAGCCACCATCTGTAGCACCGGCCGCACTGCCGAACAGTACTCTGCCCTTGGCACTGGTAACGCCCTCTATATTCAGAAAGGCACCAATCCTGTCACCGATTCCATCGCCATGCCAATGTCCCAGGATGACGTTAAAAACACAATGTGGACAGAGGGGCATTGCTTCTACGGCATGGGTGAGACGCGGTCACTATTCTAACAACTAAAGGCTCCTGTACACCCGCTGCGTAGTGTTTTTTAATGCCTTAAGCTTCGTTATCCATTTGGAGGACTTCATAATAAATTCTTTTATTTTAAGGTTAAAAAAGCTTAAGGCATTAAAAAACACTAAGCATATTTTTTTGTCCTCGGTGCTCTCTTCATAAGGATAGTAGGTGTAGAAGAAACGAAATTTATGTATATCATTTGTACACCAGTTTTTTTTCCAAGGGCGGTAGGTATAGTAATAACCTCGGTATATGTTATTGTCATAGTCAGATTTTATTAATATTACTTTTCATCTCACCAGTGTCCATTAAGTGTAGGGGATCTATAGTGTGTCAATAGATTTTTAGATCTTAAAGGAAAGAAAAGAAATTAACTTTATTAAACAAATCCGAGTTGATTCCAGGCAAGCACTACTGGTACAACATTCGCCAGGACATGGCCTGTGAGGAGTTCGTGCCCGTCTTCCTCTTGTACAATGGAGGGAAGCTGAACGCTTTCGGCTGGGCTTTCCAGGGAGACTACAAATCCTCCAGATACGAGCACCCAGGGCAGTCTAGCTTCTCGGTAAGCAGCTGTAATTCACAAAATTGTCAAAAATTGGTCCTGACTCTAAGACCGTAAACTGTGGAAAGTAGAGTAACAGTCCACTGCAGAGAACATAATGCCCCTTTTTCACAATGAGTTTATACCAACTTTCACTTAAGTCATTGTTTAAATCATCATAAAGCAAGATATCTATGAGCCCGAATTTATTTTTATAGCAGTAAAAGACCTAAATAGAACTAACGGTAAGCTACTTTTGATATAAACAAGCGAATTAGACAAATTGAAATGTGGGAGATTTTGTGTGTTAGAATTGCTGCCAACAAATAACCTTTATCAATTTTTTTTACATTTTAGTGGTTTTTGAAGCCCGTCCCTACTTGTCTGTCCACGGCGGGTCCACTGTCCACTCTCCACATCTACATGGACAGCACTGCCGCGGTGAACACGTGCTGAGCTGCAGGGATGACGTAGACGATGACGTCAGTTACAATTGGAATTATATTTAATGAAAATATAACCGTTAAAATAAATTTATTCAAAATAAACTTAAATTATTTGTTCTGTTTTGAAAATTGTTAGAAATTATCCTGCCTTGGAAAAGGATTATACCTTTTTTTCTGCTTAATTAAAGATACATGTACATTAGAAAACTGCAACTTCTTTAAATTTCTGGTCGTAAATTGTTCCAACGAAATCCCTCCACACCTTAAAGATCGATAAACTACACTGTATCCGAGACTATAGGCCTAATTTGATCGGGTTTAGACAGCGATTTGACATATTTACTCGCTTAAATGCATCTTAAACATGGATCTAAATAGTCGAAAAAATTATGGAAGAAATTTGAAGGTCAGTATTCTAATTGTTTTGGACTTACGGTAGCCTATACCAATATGACACTTAGCCTTTGAATAATAGGCCTACAAACAGGTTTGAATGTAACTTTATCAGGAAAATTAGTTTCTTGTGTTTTATGAACCATGTTCAGCTATGAAGCAACAAGATTATTCGTCTAAAAACAGAGATCGTTGCAGGCAGAAGGAATTATGTGTGACGAAATTGGATTGCCACGTCACCAAGCAGCTACGTAGATTGATAATTGATTCATTTCTCATCGATTGCCCAGCCACTAGAACGTGGGCAGACTACAGCCAAGTTCCAGTGTTTGTAGTCTGTTGGTCGTCTGGTGATGTAATTTAGTCCTAAACCAGTCCCGTTTCATCTCCACATCTGCGCACACTTTCGCTCGCACTTTATGATAGCGTATCTCGTGGTTACTCAGTAAAATCCTTCAAAAAAGCTCGATATCTCGTTTTTTTTCCTCGGATTTTATATGAATAGTCACTGAAAAAGAAAAATTAGACATAAACAACATCAGGCACTTAATTTATATTTGAATCAAGTTAGAAAAATCGCAGTCGTCGATGTTCCTGTCCACCTCGTAGTCCGAATTTTTTGCCACCCAAGTAGTGCAGTGTACGCACGAGTGCATTGGGATTGTAGTCGCCCAGCGCTTTCGATGACCATAGTTTTCTTTCATCCTCCAAAGAAATTGCTTGGGTCTTTTTGGTGGTATACACCCGAGGCCAGCATGAAAAAGACGCTTCATCTCAGAGCCTAATACTTGTCTGAGACCCACAAATTGTTCAGAATTTAATAAATCAACCCGTCGCTTCGCACCGGCGAATGCAACTCTTCAGTCCCTTCACAAGGGACAGGAGTGTCCTTGGAGGATATTCCGTACCGTTCTCTTTTCTCACCTCCAGTATAAATTTAGATATCCAGTACTGAAGTTCCACGTCAGGTTCGTCAGGTTTCATTATTGTATTCCATTTATTAATGACAACCGTGCAACCGTGTGTTGTTTCGTGCCACTGCTCACTTATTCCATGTATTAAGTGCCCACATGTTACGACGCAAAGTTTCTTAGGTCTTAGGTAAGCTTGCTTTTGAGCTTAGCTCCATTTCCTCATCTGTTACTGGTAAAGCGAAACTTTTACTGCCATTCCCCTTCTAAAAACAAGATAATATTATAAGAAAACGCAATTGGCCAAATATGTTAATTTTCACGTTTTTCGAAAGTATTGAATCTCATCCGTTCAAAATCAAATGTCCAGGTACATATGCATTGTGTCCTATCATTTATGTAGTGGTAATACATATGGAAAAGTAAAATATATAAATGAATATTGTGTATTTGTGTTATACGCACCTTCACCTCAGACGAGGAAGCCTTTTAACTCGAGCTTATAACTTCGTCGTCCGAAATGTCAGAAAAATGCTGTTTCGTATTGTCCAAATAACTTTTTTCTGCCATTTGACTTGCCGTTAGAAGTTCGACGTCCGATACGTTGGGAAAAATGTGCAAAACTCGGATGCTTGTCCATTTCTGGAATGTCGCTCTGTCATTTGGCTTTGCCGAACTATGAATGAGAGGGAGTGACTGCCACGTGCGGGAGATGGGCAGGAAATCGGCAAACTACTCACGAAAAACCACTGACCCATGTGTCTGCCAATACACACGCAACCACAAACTTATCACACAAATGAAAATGATTGGATGGTGACCACAATTAGACAGAAACTTTCGGCGTAAACGCGGGGAAAGTCCATTCTTTGATATCACCCTATGCGCGGTGATATCAGCGCGTTCTATTCAAAGTAAGGGGTTTTGGAGAACATGCACGATTTCCCTTTATACGTATAACAAATAATGCAATGTTACCCCCTCGCCCGATGTACACGATAGCATGCCTCGCTGTCGCTTGCTGTCGTGTATGTCGTGCTCGTGGACAGTGCATTATTTAGTACACACTATCGGTCAGTGTGAGGGGTAGTGGGAATGACCAGACGGTGTACAGACTACATGTATATAATCCACTGATACCACTCTTCGCCAGTCATTTCTTGAAGTTGACACAGACTCAGAGAATGTCCGTAATAACTGCTGTTCTGGCATTCGGCCTCCTTGCCTCTGGGAACGCCTGGCTTTTTGGCGGCGGTGAGGATATATATATTTTTTTTTTTGTAAACTGAAATTGTACATGCTACAATGCAGGATTATAATTTCTTTTATATTAAATAGTGTCTCTTTCACTTTTTGTCATTATTTTTAAGAATAGTGTAATCGATGAGAAAAAGTTCGTTTGATAAAATGTCCACAGCTAATTTAGTTCTTTTTGAAAAATCTTTGTGAAAATTTCAACTTTAATCTTTTTATCATACAGGACCGCAATGGGATGATTTGAAAGGTACGGTACTTTTTTTGCTAGAATATTGTTAAGCATTTTATTTTACTTCCTTTAAATTACACAAATGGATATAATTTTTAAAGTTTCAGAGATTTTTGAATGACATAATATCTCCTAAGAAAAAAAGGACAGGAGTTAAATACAAGTTGTTAAAATTGAACTGTAGAATTACATAATTAAAAAGTTCGCTTTTATAATGGCATTTATTCAATCCTCGATATTTTTGGTTTTGATTCTCGATATTTTTGCTCGTCTTTGTTTCAGTCACTTTCGGAATTAACCCCTTCGGTAATTCGTTTTCGTCGATGCCAAGAACCACTAAGGACGCCGTATCTGATGGTTGGAAGCTGGACTCTAAGTGCGGCAGTGAGTATGCTTCAGAGCGCTCTATCAATAAGGCAAAGGATTGTAGTATAATATACTGCAGATTTTTAAACCTATTGACGTCTATCAGTTCTCGTTCAAAAACATAATATACATAATATACAACTATAGAATCGCTTTGGGGGGGGGGGGAGGGGTGGGAGGTGAGGACAATAAGTCCTCTTGAGTTTTCTGAAGACAACCAAAAGATTCTTGACGGATACTTTTGTACAGGTACACATTAAATGGTCGATTAGTCTGTATTAATTACCGTAAGCCTGAGCAAGTCGGGATTGGTTCAAAAATATCGTTCACGTTGCAATACGATTTGCATTTGATATGTACAGTAATTGTACATGTATAATTGACTCCCCAGGCAACAGCCAGTTCATGGGCAACCGTTACATCAAGGACGGCGATACAGCGGTGATGTTGTTGTTTGATAAGAACGGCTACATTGCTGGTATACAAGCTGGGGTGAGTATTATAACACGTTAAGACGAAAAAGGAATTTGGGTATCTTTACCCGTAAGTGCCTCATAGTGAAAATAAGTCCAGGCATCTTATAGTTATCATCATTTTCTTGTATAACTGCGATATTTTGTTTTTTGTTTTTTCAGCTATCTGTGGCTATCTAATTTAAATGTCGATAATGTTTATCAATTGATACATAATGTGAATAAATTATAACTATTTTTCAAATGTATCCTTGGCAATTTTAGATTCCTAAGAAGGCTGGCACCTTTCCATCAAGTATGAGTGAGGACGTCAGAAAATACTTCATTGAAGAGAGCGACAAATTCACCATCACTGCCTACTTTACCGACCCAGGTAGGACGCACAGATTCCATGTTTTTTTAAAGAACATCTTCTAGACTTAAGTTGTGACAAAACATGTGGGCCTATTTGGCGTGGTACATGTAGTAGGACAAGGATTGTAGCTGAGTTTTTTGTCTCTAGTTTGCACCTGACTTCGCTCGATAATGACACCTTTGATAAGAAGAGATACAATTTGGGGCCAGATTCCAGCAGATACCATCAATTAAATATGTGTGTTCGTGCACACACGAAAATACGTGCACACGAACACACACGGTACCACTATGTTAAGATGAGGAAACCTCTTCCAAATACTACCTTAATCGGTACAACAAAATCAATCATCAAAATTGTATATCAGCCAACTGTAGCAATCGAGGGCTGGTCGGCTTTATCTATCTTAGATAGATAGATAGGCTGTGGGTATTTAATAATAGCCGGGATCAAGTCACGACGTTCTTCGCCGCACCCATCGGTTAAGCGACCTTGTGTATTCTGGCCAGCTGTCCAGTGACATGCAATTTTACTTCATGACTTACACGGCCTGCTGATTTTACAGATACGCCGTGACTAAGATTATTTTTCCGTATTCCAAACGGTAAAACTATGTGAAGCTGATTTATAAAAAGAGCAGCCTAATTATTGGCGCAAAATGCTCTGGAATCAGATGCATTCTGTGGCACTTATGGTTTTCCAGTATGCCTTATGTCAGCTTCACCGAATGCATTTATTCATCTCCCAGACAAAGGAAATTCCTTAACAACCTTCGCCGCTATAAGCCCCCAATCTAGCTTTTGTGTTACGTGTTTTTTTACAACTTTTGCATGTGAAAAGCATGTCACATAACCTATATTATCATTATTATCTCTCCCCTGGCTGGATCTCCCTAGATTGGTATACAGCTAGTCTTTCAATTAAGAATAAGCTTTTCTGTGACTGGCTACTACTTGAGAGTGTTTTCATGGTTTTTTTATGGGTTTCAGCCACCATCTGTAGCGCCGGCCGCACTGCTGACCAGTACTCTGCTGACGGCACCGGTACTGCCCTCTATATTCAGAAAGGCACCAATCCTGCCACTGATTCCATCGCCTTGCCAATGTCCCAGGATGACGTCAAGAACACAATGTGGACAGAGGGACATTGCTTCTACGGCATGGGTGAGAAAGGCGTGGCGTATCTTGGTTTAAGGCTTTTTATTGAAGTTTTAGGAGGCAATTTAGAGGCTATTTCTATGTAAGAAAAGAAAATAGTGTCAGGGTCTGATATCTCTTAGATGTCTACAGTGTATACCTAAGTGAACGTGTACAATGGCAAGCTCACTCGATTGCACAGATTTGCCCTTCAGTTCTACTGTTTGAAGTTAGTTTGAAATTAGTCCCTCATTTTTCACAGAAAAAAAATCGATCCTGTAGAAAATTTTTTGGTAATTTTTAAGTATTATAGCGGTTTATTAAACATATCTATCCTCGTTCCAGGCAAGCACTATTGGTACAATGTTCGTAAAGACATGTCCTGCAACGAGTTTGTCCCAGTATTCCTCTTGTACAATGGAGGTAGATTGAACGCGTTCGGCTGGGCGTTCATTGGAGACTTTAAGTCACCCAGATATGAACATCCTGGACAGTCCAGCTTTAAGGTGAGCGGTGCTTTGCTATGGTTCATTATTCGTGATTTTTATTTTGTTAAAGGTACATACGAACCGAGCATCGGTGGAGTGTGGATTCCAAGTAACACATGTAAACCACTTCTACTATATTCTTATATAACTCAAATAAATTCGACATACCAAGGGATAAACTGAATAGATCCCTCGATCAGCCATAAAAGACCTTTAGACTGCTCCTTTCTTTAAATTTATGGTTATAAATTTAACCTACTTCCATGACCTACTTTCCTGCCCCATTGACATACAGCTTAGAATGCCAGCAGAAAAATCTGTTCAAACATCATTTTCGGGTAAAATTAAACAATGCCTTTTGGTAATTCCCTTAGTTATACTACTTGAAACTATATGCTGGCATTTGGTTGGTTTTTGTGACAAAAAATTGACTCTGTATGCATCTTTAAAATTTGATAATATTGGGGCCGGAAAGCAGTTTCTGGAACCAGACCAGTTGTATTCTGGTCCTTTATGCAGTCGATTCCAATATTTCTTTTCCACATATCTATATTTGTTTATTTTTCATAAAATAGTGCTGGTCTTATAAACCTCGTGATTTATACGTGTATGTAAAATCAACAACGCAAAGCTTACTGCATAAAGGATGCAGAATAATTCATTTTCCCATTTGAAAATAAGTGGACGTAAATTCTGAATATAATTTAAAGTCAGTAAAGTGTTATGCATTGACAACTGAATAAAAATTAACTTCTAGCCTACAGAATATTCACACAGTGCCCGTTATTGATTTATGTGGTATCTTTTTTCCAGTGGTTTTTGGATCCCGTCCCGACCTGTGTAACCAGCGTGGGTACATTGTCCACCATGCACATCTACATGTACAGCACGGCCAGAGTCAACACGTGCTAGGCAGCCGTCATAAGTACCCCAGTTATGCAATGGGGCACCGAATTTAATGCGCACATTATTATTATTATTATCATTATTTTTTTTATGGGTTTCGTGATTCTTGGTATGAAGTTACAAATAGCTGAAATGAAAAATAAAAAATAGAATCTGTACTTTTAATTTTGATGTTATATGAACACGTAGATAATATTCTGATACGTGACAATAAACCAGAAATTAACTAATCAGTATTGACAGCTAAGATCACGATAAAGACACGTGTTGGTAATCGCTAGATCAAGGGTTTTAAATGGATGCTAACGGTACAGCTAGTGGTACATGTAGTCTGTATAAAATAGGGCCTCCTTGAACTTAGTATCCTACCTGGATTCTATTATCTCGAGTTTTGCTGTTCTTAAGGACTTCTGCAATTGTTTTTGTTATCGAGTGTCAATTGTCATTCAAGATAACATAAGTCCTGCACCAAAAACACTTCACGTTTGTAGCAGGCGATTAATTGGTAACGGAGTTGATCTTTGTAATATTATTATCGTGTGTTATCGCAATTTATTTGTCGAATATAAAATATGGCCCGTGAAGTTTTTAACGTTTTTTTTAATCTCCTTTTTAAATCCCCACAATTCAAACAAGGTACAGTTTTTGTATATGGCTTTCAAATAATTCAAATTGTTTAGGGAATATGTACACGCAAATTCTATAGAAAAGATCACTCGGTGGCAGTACTTTGATAATGATGCTGCGAAGAAGAAAAGTATCAACGTTGTAATACAAACACAAAGGAAAAGAAAATTATATAATTCCGTCCTACAGGCACATGAATATCTTTTAATGGTAATATGCTTCTTGCGCACTGGCACATGTTATTGTTTGTCATCTTCGTCTGAAAAGTAGATATATTTCTCGAAAATGCGTCTTTAGTTTAACTATAATCGTTAAAAAAATTCAGGGTAGCTTCAGTCGTGTTATTGCTTGCCAAATCTAGGGCTCGAACAGAAATGGTGGTTCTGCTGAAATTAATCAGTACTTCTACCTGTCGTTTTGTACCCCCTTTCTGGATAGGCATTCGGACTTCAAGATCAGCAATCTTCCACGTTTTCTCTTCATTTGTAAACTTCACGTCTTTCTTTTCACTTGCGTAAACTGGTAAAGTCATACTGTTTTGACGGGATCTAACGGCATGAAACCGGAGTTTTCTAACCTCTCCTTCTTTCACCGATTCATCTTTCTTGATTATAGTTTTGAATACTCGAGCGCATTTTTCAACTCCACCTTCGTAGACTTCTTTAAGTTCAATCGGGTGTGAGTTTTTATCAAATGGTTCGACGCATTCGATGCCATACGTATAGCCAGCAACGCGCTGTTTGAATATGGCGGGGTTTTGTCCATACACTACCGCCCCCTTTACAACACACAAACCGCCATCATTGCCTGGTGTAATGACCTTCAAACGACCTTTGAACCTTTCCGTAATTGCTTCCTGCAGTAAAGGACAGTCTGAAAATCCGCCAACAAGAACAAGGAAAGATATATTGTTCTCATTTGTTGTTATGAACTCCAACAAGTGATTGGAAATTGCTTTAATTGTACGCTCGAAAAGTCCTCGCATGACGTCACTAGAAATGCGAATTTTATCGATGCTCCACGTTAAAGCTCCTTTTGGTTCGTACATGTTACATGATTCGGCAAGTGACATCTGGTGAGAGCTAGCATAGGAGAGAAAACCTGCAGGAAACACTAGACGAGTTGGAACTTGCTTGACTGGCGATAGAGTTCGTTTCTTGATTTCAAATTCTCTGATGATGCGATGCCAATGATCTGGGTGCAAGGCGCGGAAGCCATCTGAAAATTAGAAATTGACCTCGTAGTCTACAAAGGTATTTTGGCCAAATCTCCGCATTTTATCTAGAAATTATATTGATAATATGAAAAAGTGTAGAAAGTAATAAAAAGTCATAAAAACCCCTGCTTTAAAATCTTGCAAATACATACATGTATACATGTACGGGGTATGGTTGGCGGAATATTTTGAATACCTTTATTTAATGGTAAATTACCACAACGAAACCTAAATGAAATGAAACACATTTTAAACTGGTTTAATATGTTACAGAAATGACATTAGCATGCATAATACAAATACCCATTTTTTCTTTTCCAAATACCGAATCCAGAAGTTTTTCAAACTCCACATTCACGGCGTCTCCTCCCCACGGTCCCCCTGTGGGCCTGCTCAGAATTTTAGGTTTTAAGGTAGTTCGGTCAATCTCTTGGACTGTGATGTCCGCTGTCCCGCCTGGAAACGAGAGTTATGATATTATCCTGTTTTATCCCAAAACATATTGATTAAATACTGTGAAGCCTACGTCAGACTGTACTCTAATCGGCCTTTTTAATGTGAAACTGAAATAGGCCTTCTTGACTTGTTTTTTCTGTTTATTTTGACCTTGCTTCATTACGTGTCTTAAGTCGTCAATAAATTAAGAAGCCATAGAGGTATGTTATTCCTGAAGAATTATATGCAAATACTTTACCCCCCAGATCGGCGACCATAAATGTAACTCCGGGTTTGTTGATGTCAAGCGACACGGTGCCAGCAGGATTTCTCTGCGGCGTCTGTTTGCACTGTTTCAGATAATACAGAGACGCCGCTTCTGGCTCGTATGCGATTAACTGCTGTTCTCGCGGAATACCTGCCTAGAGAGAGGGTAAATTTTTTAAAATTCTTTAAGACTAATGGAGTACCCGAATTGCATGAGAGAATATGTGTCACCGCAAAATAATCTGAGGAATTGTAATGTAACTTTTTCTACTCTGTATATGTGACACGTTTTTTTGATCCAAAATTTTTAATAAATATACTAGTGGACTATTAAGGTCAAATGATTCTACTAAAGGCCTTGTTGGGTAGCCTACCTTTATTGCAGATAGCCGCATAAACTCTTTGGCTTGATCTGACCAGACAGAGGGCACTGTGATCACCCACAATACCTCTGTAGCCAAGACGGACTGTTTTTGTGACTCAAGCAAGTGCTCTTTAAGCAACCTAATTGCATGGGAAAAGACTACTTGAGCAGGGAGAGATTTTCCGTTATCGGCCTGAAGCATTGTTGTTCTGGGGTTTATCTCCTGAAACATACGGTTCTCAAATAAATTTATCTGTATCTCAATGCTTGCACGATTGCCTTGAATAAAAATTAATTTCAAAGTAAATGTACATATACATGTATAGGAGAGTTCCAAGCAATGGAATATTGACAGACGATGAAGTATACTATAGCCGTTTTTAAATAAAATTCAAATCTTTTGTAGAGTACGATAGCATCTTTAGGTAAAAAAACATGTTTTACCAATTCTGCATTTAGCTTCATTTTGAACCGCTCAAACAGGTACCACTCTGAAACCTCCTCTGGCTCTAATTCTTCAAGAAACTTCTGCTGCGCTTCGAATCCAAAATATGCCTTTTGAACATAAAAAAAGAGTTTTGACTTCTGATTGTAGATTTTTCATAGAATTATAAGAAAGAAAACGTCAGCATATCAATTACGTAAGTAAAACTGCAGGATAAGATTATTGATGATTGTCTGGAAAATTATTATTTCCCTTTGGCCTCACATTACAATATACACTGTATTCATTTATATTATGTATTATGTAGGATATACTGTAGATTTTCCTAATAATTGGTACTTTTTAAAAGTTAAAAAGTTAAGTTTTAAAATTAAAATTCGCAAATATCTACTTGCAGAACATGATCACTAGCATGATCATTATCATTATCTTCAATTCAATAAATAGGCCTATATCATTTAAAACAGTCAAAATTTATCTTCATCCAAAGTAAAGAATTAATAAAAAAAAAGGGCATCAGCTGACCTCAGATTGATCCGGGCTGATTAACACCGTAGTTGGCGTCCGGTAGAGCTGTTGACCGACACTTGCTCCCCAGTTGGCGTTAATATAGATGTCGCTTTCGTTGGAGGTAAAAGAGTAAGCATAGCCGCTAAATGTGGTTCCAAAGTCAATAGCCGCTACCATACAGAAAGGGTTTTCCGGCGTTTCAGCTTTAGGTCCAGCCTCTTCTTTAAATGATTGTGTCCTTTCATTGTCTACTATAATGAACAAACATATGGCTGATAAGAAAAAAATTTGATTAAAAAAACGAAAATAGATTAATTGATAAATAAATAAATAAACGAAAAGATTCAAATAGAGAAACATATTACTTGTCTTTTCTTTTTTTTTTTAGTTTATTATTTATAGGTCACTGCTCCTCTTTCTACGTGTCTGTGCTGCCAAAACACGGAAAAAAGATGAACAATTAGATAACTGATGACATTTAGTGTTAGTTGCCAGCAGCGTTTTAAAATTATTGTGTAGCAGTATCTTCCACTTTCTTCCCACACCCCTAGGTTTTGCCGTTAACAGAGGGGGCCGGATATCTGATAATGCAGGACAAAGTTTGAAATTATACAGATTATACAGTTGGGGTTCAATTTGCTGAGATAGGGGAAAAAGACAAACAGAACATACAAATAATAATAAAAAACATTAATAAAAAAAATAGAAGAGACAAAAAAAAAAAAAAAAAAAAGAAACACTTACCCCAAGATCTGTACACGCTGGACAGGAACAATCCTGACATATCCATCATTATGAAGTATACATAAGACTTCTTGCGCTAATCTACACCAATAAAAAAAATCATGCCTAACTAACCATGTAGCTCCCATAAAAGAGATATTCTAGACAATAATATATACAAGTCATTGCTTCTATTAACTCTGTCCTAGCTGAACCCTTACTCTGTTGTAAATATGGATGAAGGCATTGGTCACAAGTCAACGTGTAGAAGACCCCGTTCACACAAGCACAAAAAAAAAAAAACGGTGACGTAATCATTTACATAATTTGTCAGTAGCTTACCAAACAGACGCCTACCCCAGAAAAACCATTTTCTCATATGTAGGCGTGTTGCTGAGCTGCAGATCGGCTGAACCTCCTTATTGCGGATTTTTGCTGGCGTCAAATTTTTGTCTTGATGTCACCTTCCTTAATTTGTTTAAATATTCACATCGGTTTCTTGTCTTATCTAGCCTAATTGAGTGTCTTGCGCAACGACAGGCAGATTTATTTTGAATACAATTTAGCTGTTTATTTGTCAGGGATTCGTGACCCAGATGGAGTGAGTTATCTGATCTATGTTATCAATGCGATATGGCCGGAGCATAGGGTCGTCGTGATAAAGTTCAAGTATCAATACGTGTGACAAAGCACAGTGAGAACTGACTTCAAATTGGACCTGAATTTAATATGTCATAAAGCAGGATCCAAGGTGAGTAATCGGGATCATTTTAAAAGTCAAACATGCTCTAAGTAGTGTCTAAAGAAACAGACTAAGTACAAACTTGGATTCGACAACGTAGGAATCGATGTTACATGTACCTTAATCATCGTTCATAAATATGCCTGTGATTTCTATGTTGGGGAAAATTGACTACTGACAACACAGCAGCTATTAACAAAAGGACGTACTTCGATCACAGTAACCAAGCGGACACAGATCGTTTGTTAAGTAAGAGACATCTTTATTTAATTCTCAGATTATAGATCCGTACTTTCGCTTGTCATACAGGTAACGTTAAAGCTTGTTGATGTCAAGTCGCGTGATTCAGTCTCGTGATTCCTACTATGTTGACACTCTTAAACATTATCTTTTCTTACGTAAGAATCTATGTTAGGATCGGTAATAATTTTATTAGGGTCTTGGTTGAAAGTCCCAATAGCAAAAGTATAGACAGACCTCTGGATTAAACAGTATGACTCATGTTTGTTTTTCAATTGATAAACATTCAATCAGTGCAGAAGTGATATTAAACGTCCCCTGAACGATTATAGGATCCCATATCTGTAAATAACCAATAAAAACTTTCGTTAATTTTTCACATTAATCAGATTTCTATCTCAGCACGCCAACCGTTTCGTTTGTTACTCATAACTCTCTCGTGTCTTGTACTGTTTTTAATGTTTGACATAGACCTATTACATCTACCTATATGTGCGCAGTTAATTATTATTTAATGATACCTCCATGTACATTTAGTTATATCTCCCCGATACAGTTCCGAACAATGAACGTTTTCGGATTGGTTTGGGACTCTCACCTCAGTCACCTTTTTTTTGCCACCGTGTCTACATCATTCTTTTCGTGTTATATACCCCGCTCAACGTGTTCTCATGTATCCTAGTGCATTAGCTCGGCCTCAACATCTCTGACTTTTTAATTTCAATTATTTGCAGATGGACTTGGGACTCCTACGGCAGGTTTCAGTGGCTCACAGGCAAGGACAAGACAGCCACCATTTCTCGCATCTGCGGCTCGGACTTATCGGAAAAACTGTGGAATGCCTAGAAGATACCTCAAATCGGTATCTCCTGTCCGCCATTTTTGATTTCAAGTTAGATACTGAACATTCTGGTTTATCCTACGCCCCTTCATGTCAGAAACACAAGAAAGTTTTAGGTGATATTATCAAGAATGCAAACAAACAGTTGAAAGAGGCGTGCAAGGGTTGTTCGAATTGCGTGGAACATATAAAATACGTCGATCACTTCTTCAAGAAAGGGGGACTTTCTTCTCTTGTCAGTGATACCCAAAGAGAACTACACAAACAGAATTACAGAGTTCGAGAGTTACAGACAGAACTTCGCGAAATACAAAGACAATTGAGTGAGAAGATATCTGAGAACAGTACTCTTAAGGACGCCAACAACATTTATCTTTCACAACTGGAGGGAAAAAGCACAGAAGAGCAAACGTTGCGATCGACGACAGGTGATTTGTCGACCAGAAATCAAAGCATGACGTCAAAGATGGCACAGCAAAATAAGAGGTAACGTCATAGGGGACGGTCACCAAATTTCAATCCCAATATTCTTGATTCTTGTTATTGCCCCCCTAGACTGCAAGTCTTTGTTGAGGTGCAGTCATAAAAAAATAACAGGAACTGAACAAATTATTGATTGTTTTTTAAAACTTTGTTCTACCGAGTATACATGCATTTTTATACACGGCTATTCAAAAAGTTAATGTCTGTAGGTCAGAAACAGTTGACGGGAGTCACAGAGTATTTTGCCTTGAAGACATGCTAGATGTCTCTACGACACTTTTTTGATACAAAGAAAAAAACTGCGTTAGTCTAGTTTACTAACATTATCACTACGTTTATCTAAATGATTTTAGGCTGGCCGAATTGCAGCACAGGATAAACAGGGAATTAAACCCGCACGCCGTTAATGTTGCCAGACCGGCTGCGGCCACGACCCCTGACCAGTTGGTGGACATGTACACGATGGACCTGTACGAGGAAGAGCACGACAGAGCTCTGGACCAACTGCAAGACGACTTTGAATTCACGGAAGAAGAAGGGATCGGTATTTTGTTCACAGCAGTGACTGTGAGTAAATGAATTTTGTGCCATCAACGTCTTTTCGCCTAACGATTTAATATGGCTTCTCTCGTAAAAAAGAATAATACTCCTCAACTAGGAGACACACCAAAATGCTTGTTTTTAAAGTTAGTAGGGTTTCAACAGTAAACTTTGAAATTTTGATTCGCTTTCTCGCCTTTAATTGTGATATTTATTTGGTAACTTTCTTTAAAGTGACGAGGTTTCCACTCCCCAACCCCCTCCCCCCTGTCCTTCAATAGTAGAAGTGATATTTGTAGTGATCAATGTTGGACAATGGCTACACTATTCCCGTTCAAATTAACTTTCTTTTATTTTTATTCGGATGACCGCCTTTGTTCTCTTTACCCATTTACAAATTTCGTGTTTGTCTAATTCACTCAGTGTTCGTGTTCCATTTAGTCATCATAAACTGCTTTGTTGTTTGCTATTTTCTGGCTTTTGGTGTTCTAAACAAATTTCGTTCTCTTGAGTCTCACAACTGATAAATTTCTAAAGTCGTCAATAACTATTCTAGAAAGAGTTTCTAAGATAAATGGCCTTTAAACCATAATCATATAATAAATTCAAGTTTTGACTGTTGTTTCCCATTTTTATTATCTGTTATCTATATTTTGTCAGACTGCGTGCCATATTGTTGTGCACGCGGTCAAATTTTATCAATGCCAATCACATTAATATAGCATATTTTAACTGTTCCAAATGTAGTTGTCATAGGGATTTAATCTCGACTTATATTCACCCAATATCACTGTTATCAAATTAACCGAGTTATTATATATAAAAACTACATTGCAATAAGTAATTTTTGAATGGGTAATGCATGTGCATGTATATCCCGGTACCATGGTTACGTTACAACATGATTCTGCAAAGTTTTAAATGTGTTGACAAACATGATAAGTGACAGAAACCACTGGCAAAAATCCAGTAGTAAGTAAATCAGTTTCTAGGACTATTTGTTTGCTCATAAGTTAGTATAAACTCAATTTACCAACGTAATTGTGTGATAAATTTTCATCGTTTTTATGTGTCAATGAATATTTTGTGCAGGTGTCATATGAATGCACAGAAAAGGCGCTTCAGAACTATACGCAGGGGTGGAAGGCCTCCTTGAGGGTACCGACGATAGACGTCAATTTCAACCAAACCTTTCACGGTCATGGGAGTTTTCGCACGTCTTCAGAAGGCAAACACAGCCATTCTTCCGACAGTCGGCATAGTTCATTAGATGCCAATCTTCCCAGGCACGTGGAAGACGCATGCGCCGACAGCGAAGAAGAGGTGAGCTGTACCCCGTTTTTATGCTCTTGTACTCTGTTAATTTGATTAATTTCACTAGAACTCTTAACAAAAATATATATGTTTACGAAAAAAATACCTGCACTTAAAATTAGAACGCGCTTCGTAATTTTTTCAGTGAACGCTTATGATAATGTTCATTTTATATTATAGAAGGAACTTTTCGATCGGATATCGCACACGATTCGGCAGTTCCTGGTCAACAACACAGAGCGGCATGACTTAAAGGAAATAAATCAGGTACATCGATTCAAAATGATACATATGATATGTAATCAACCACTTCAAAATCGACTTCGAGTATGGGCTCATATGGAAGAGATCAAGGCGACATGTTATTATTATCCTTTGAACACTGCTCAATTTAATATCCATAGGATATTCACTACATTTATATATTAGCGCTCATGAACTAGTACAACATGTTTGATTACGCTTTTAAAAGTTGTCACTGATAGTAGTCACTACATGTTAACAGCGTAACATGCATACCATTTTCAGGATGTGTTAGAGCAATTACGGACCAGTCTCCAGTGCAATGAAGACGTCATCAAGTCATCCTGTTTGAAGAGATTTGTCCGTCACTGTGTCCGTGTGTTTTGGAAAATGGTGGTCCTGGACCCGCCGATGAAACTAGACTGGAGTGGTGCGAAGATGGACAAAGAGGTGCATGAGGTAAAGAAAATCGGTGGTTCCATGGCTTTTCTGGCACCAGTGCATGTTTGTTTGACCTTTTTTTCTAATCTCCTTACAGTCACCTAAGCTGCAGAAGTGTAATTTACAACGTGGGCAATAAGACAGGGGCTGCAAACCACATAGATTTACATTCTCCGTTTTGCATGGGTAATTTTAGTTCCTTAATAGATATAGATACCTGAAAGTTCTAGGTTCAAGCCTTTTGACGGGCATAGCTATAGTTATCTAAGGCGTCACTTTACATAACTTTACTTTGGAGAAGCATCTAGTGTCTCAGATACGCCATTGCGGTAAAATCAAACGAGACACATATTATCTTAATGTCGTCTTCCGAACCTATCTCAATTTGTTTCCCCCGTTTAGATTTGATTACAATCTCTTACAGGATCGGTGGGGTTGCACCTCAGGAGAAATAAACTATTTCATCTGGCCCGCTCTCTATAATGGGCGAGGGAAACTTGTGTGCAAGGCAAAAATTGCTACCAAACGACAGGGGACCGCCATACAGGCTGATGACGTCACCGCTCAGGCCATCGCTTCCGATTCTGGTAGTGACGTCACAAGTGTGGCTTCTACGCCTGTATTTGGTCTGTCAACGGATGAGGGTGCCAGCTTAACGGGCTGTTCGCCAAGGACTGCGGACGAACGCGCATGCATTCCAGGGGCACCGAAGAGTTTAAATCCGGGAGGTACCAGTCGTTTTAACGAACTTGGTCGCGTGGCGGCGTCGCCGAGGCCAGACACCTCTGGTAATGACGAAAGTTACCGACACGAAGGAACGTCTTTTCTGGGATATGCCTCAAAGTACTTGCTTAAATAAGGCTTATGTTTGAGAGCGTGTTGGGATTGATTGCCGTAGGTCGAAGACCACCTTTTAAAATGATTTTTTTTTCTTTTTATACCCTGATGAAAATAACTTTTGCCAATAATATTTCCAGTTTTGGAAAACATCATATTAAAACAGTTACCGGTATATCTATGTGAACATGTACTGTATAAATGAACTTTTTAATAAATGACTGTCATGACAATAAAGAAGAAAATACAATGTTGCCACGCGATATACATGTATGCACCTCAACGACGTATTACTAGAAAGTACGTTCTTGGATAGTATTAATCATTCCTATATGCCGTATAAAAACTCCTGGAACCTGCAACTGTAAAGACAAGACTTGAACTCGAAAACGTGTTTAAAGACCATAACTTTTCTTCATAGTTTTTAATAGCACGTACATCCGTTGTGTAAAACTGAAATTTGGAAGACAATTGATTTTTCACTATTTAAAGGTCTGACGCATATTGGTTAGATGAAACCAATCGTTTAATTCATTATTGCTTTTCTAAAGCATAGACCCATTACTGCACCGTATTTTTGCCTTGTCATGAGAAACATCAATATCAGGGAGGTGGTATAGTAATTATAAGCGACATGCATATTTCATACATATGTCAGCATTCTCCTCCAATGGATACATCTTGTTTGTCAAGTAAATAAAATACATATTGGACTAAAGCATTTTTGCTGTTTTGTCATGGTTACCGGCAACACAAAAATTCACAACATTATCAATATTCGATTGACACTCGGGTAATCTCGAAAATAGACTTAAAGCAGTTGTTTTATTCTTAATCATGAAAATCTTAGAGATATTCAGATATGCCAGGAAGACGTATATCGGTACTATGCTCTGCTCTGTGCAGTGCAGTTTGCATTCTGAATTACATTATGGCTGAAAGTTCGAATTCAAGTATAAATTATTTTCTTTTCAAACGGGAGAAATATTTGCCAAAGTTCGTTTTGGAACGAATGACAAAGAACAGTAGTGTAGAATGCGCCAATCTCTGTGAGAAAAACACTCAATGCAAGTCTTTTAACATGAGATTGGACGATATGGCATGTGAATTGAATACAGGTACAGAGTACGACGCTAGTTCTACATCTCTTGTTGATGATATTCAAAGCACGCACTACATGAAGGTAAGCAATAAACATATTTCATAATGAGGTTATAAAAAAAAAACGAGGACCCTAGAAAACGGAAGGGAGGGGGTCGTACCGTATAAAAATTAGCCGCCATAAGAATAAAAAAGTCATCATACTACTGCTATTTTCGTTCGAATGCAGACCTGTAGCCAGGAGGGTTTGGGGTGGAGGGGGTTCGAAAGAACCCCCTTTTTGCTGGAAAATGTCCTTTCTTTGTTAATTTGATTAAGGTAAACTAAGGTTTCGTGACAAAAGGTCCACATTTTCAGAAAAAGAACCCCCCTTTTGCAACTGTGCACCTTTCTAATGTGTTATATTCGTTAGTGAGTGTTTTATTAAATATTTTCAAACGTGAGCTGAGGGAACACAAGCTTTGTCTTTTTGGAAACGGCATGTTTTTACTGTCTATTTTTATTCATAGGATCAGACGTGCGAGTAAATCCTTGCTGTTTCTATTTCACATTTATTGTTTTAGATTCCAAATGACTGTGCTGATTACAGTAAGTAATACAATTCCCTTCAAACTTGTACAATATGGTCGAAATAGGTTTTTTATTTGTAATCAAGCGGTCTCATATCTTTATTATAAATCGCTATATACATTTTAAACATCTATGGTTTCAAATAGGGCAAAATGAGTTACACTGCGTACTCTCTTACAACAGGGAACGTAAGAAGTCTGTTACAAAATCATTGTGTCGCCCATACTTCAATTTTGTATACTATTTCTCAACTACATCAGAAACCTGGGATATCAGGGTGGAGACGGATAAGTAAATGCAGATAACAAAAGAAAAAAAAATAAGTGAAAAAATTATGGAAATACTATGTAGTAAGTAATGAGTAATGAGTAACGAGTTGATACATGTAGAGGGGGGAAAAAGATCACCATGGTGATGTGCGCTATCAATGGTTAGATTTTTAAAAAGTGTTAACCGTGGAACTGAAATAACGTTTCATTTCAGACGTGGATGGTGGTGTGTTTTGGATTCACGTTCATTCCATGAGAAAGGCAATTCAAGTTTATTGTGAACGGGGATGGACAGTTCTTATGCGAAGGACTGGGCCGGAATTAAATTTCAACAGGTAAACGGAAAATGCCACGCTCTAGTGTGTTTTTTTTTGAAAATTAAGTAATAATAGTCTAATGATATTTTGCTTGGGGAGATTGATAAGCAAAGGCAATTTAACTTTAGCCACCCACCATACAACAAGCTTTGTGTCCGTTCAAGAAACGACATAGGAAAACTTGTAATATATATAGGCCGAAGCTGTTGAACCCTATGAAGTTTAGGTCACTATATGTAGTTGTTTTCATAGCACTCGGTTGATACGTTGAGTCGAAGACATGACGCGCGTGGCATTACAAATTGTGTCGATTAATTGTTGTACACTGTCTGTACTCGTGACAACCGGCGAACACCTCATGAGTGACGACCGGTTGACAGGTGTGTGCTGGTTGTCACAAGTACAGATGTTTTAAAAGAAAAAAATGTTCTTTTGGTGTTGCCATTCGTACGTGCCTTTCAGGTCGTGGGAAGCTTATAAAAACGGATTTGGTGACATTGCCAGCGACCACTGGCTGGGATTGGAAGCGTTTCATCATCTTACCAATCAGGGAAACTACTCCTTAATGATCGAGGTGAGAGACTTGCTGACCGACTCTTACTTTTGGAACATCCGTGAACGTTTCCGTATTGGTCCGGAATCCGATCAATATGTTTTAAACTTATCGCTTTCTACTGAGGGCAACCTGACGGATAAGTTATGGTATAATAACCTCCAGAGATTTCATACCTATGACAATGACAATAATAAGAGCTGTGGCCTAAAGTACGGGGCAGGGTGGTGGTACGACACCTGCACCCGTGTCTCGCTTACAGCTAAAATGGCGATGCCGGGGGAATGTTTGTCAAAATGCCTAAGGTGGTTCAAACACACCAGTGTGTCCAGTGGCAGTAGCGGTGAGAGCACTTTGTTACGCTGGGCTGCTTTGAAGATTAAAAGGGCTAGGGATGAACTATTGCAGAATGAATGCCAGTCACACTTAAGATGCTTGTCCTCTCCTTAACCAAAGTCAACTTCGTCCAGATCGAAATTCTCTTGTAACACTATCGATTTATATAAACGAATTATGATAAACAAAACACCAGAAAAGCTTATGTAAAGGATAATATATATGTTTATTTGTTAATCTAAGCATTGCGGTATGATTTGATATATGTGAAATATACTGCTTAATATATATTACCTGTACACTACCATAGCTCATGGTGCTGTACAGGTGGTGTAATGTGTTCATTGGCTAGCAGAAGAGAGATTTTAATGGATGGGCACGAGGTAATATATTTTTTAGCTTTGCTTACATATCTGGCACGATATCTGGCGGGTGCCAGACATCCGAGCCGCTTAAGCTGAACATAATTTAGCAAGAAACCCCTCGGAGATGGGTTGCTCTTGCTAGATCGATCTAGGTATGAGAATGTGGTCTAACTGCCTCGTAGAAAAGGGTGTTTTTTCTTCTCGATACACCTATTCTTCCACCCTTTCTCTGGGAACTATAGAAAGTCTTTAAGCCTATCATGGAGGAATTCGGTTTCTAAAACTAAAATACTATAAAATACTAAAACCGAATTTTCAGTTAGACCTTTTTAGCCTACAAGCAAATGTTTGAGTTATTTATTATCATTCAGAAGCATAGGTAAATTATCGCGCCGCATTCATTTACCGCCACGAGAGAACATCGATAATCATCATTAATATACGTATTAAAAAGGGAATACATAACTTGTACGTGTTACACGCTTTCTGCTCAGCTAACATATGATGTTTGTCAAGGAAATAAAATTGTTTTGCCATGGTAATCAATTATTCAAACAATTTTCGATTGTAACTCATGTTATCATTCATAATCACGAGAGGGTTGGAGACAGGCGAAAGTCGTATTATGAGTATATGGGATATAGGAGACATAACGCGGGTGTTAAAACATTCTTAGTCGCGAAAATATTATAGAACCCCTTTTCAGACATGTTAGGAAGATTACTGGTGATATGCTTAGCTATGAACAGCACAGTTTGCATTCTGAAACACATTATAGAGGAAGGTGCGCATTCAAATGCACGATTATTCCTATTCAAACGGGGAAAATATCTGTCAGGGTCTGTTTTGGACAGAACGACGCAGAACAGTAGTGTTGAGTGTGCCAATCTCTGTGAGAAAAATACCCAGTGCAAGTCTTTTAACATGAGATTGGACGATATGACATGTGAATTGAATACAGGTACAGAGTTCGACACTAGTTCCACATCTCTTGTTGATGATACTGAAAGCACGTACTACATGAAGGTAGGTCATATGCAGTTTGTTGCAAGATTAGTTTTAAAATAGTAAGCGTACAAAAGGGGGGGGGGGTCATGGGATTTGTGAGCTTCTTTTTGTACAAGAAATATTCGTCGTACTGCTGCTATTTTCGTTCGAATGAATGCTTGTTTTATGTGTGATGTCTTCTAACTTAGGTGTTTTGATTGAAAGTTTCAAACTTCAGTTAAGGGTGAACCGGTTTCATGATTGCAAGACATATTTTGTATTTTGTACCTTTGTTAAACCTTTTATTTCGTGGTCATAGGATCAAGCGGACAAATAAAACCTTGGTATTTCTGTGCATTTGTTTTAGATTCCAAAGGACTGTGCCGATTACAGTAAGTAATATTATTCAATATGATTCCTTGCCCAATGGTCGAAATAATGATAAAAATACAAATAATTATTTTTAAAAATCCCTTTTTCAATCCAATACTTGAAAAGTGTTTATAAACTTTTCGTTTCTAAGTGGCCAGAGTTTTTTATTTACATTTATATAAAAATGTGAAAATTGAAATCAAGCAGTGCAAACCCTATATGAATCCATAACGTTAGCGAGTTTATGTACTGCAATATTGAAGTAAATTCAGACATAACTGGTGATAGAAAGAAACAGAAATGAAGACTAGTGAGAATATAGATAGCAATGAATACGGCACTGGTGGTAATTAGAGGGTGCCCGGATAAAAGGCACCATGAAGATTTGCCTCATTTGAGAATACGATGGTTAGATGGTAACAGAAATTGCCATGGGCCAATTTCCGTTACATTTCAGACTTGGATGGTGGTGTGTTTTGGATTCACGTTCATTCCATGAGAAAGGCAATCCAAGTTTATTGTGAACGGGGATGGACGGTTCTTATGCGAAGGACTGGTCCGGAATTAGACTTCAACAGGTAAACGGAAAACCCCATGAACTATGATTCTGAGAAAAATTAAGTAAAAAACGAGCGAAATCTAGTCATAGTTTCCCAATGAAGATTGGTGCATAATGAACCAAAGGTGACTTATTTTTAACCAAAGTACAAGCTTTGCTTCTGTTCAATAAACAACATAGGCATACTTATGATATCGGCGAGCTTTTGGGCAGGATAGTGCCTTTCAGCAGCACTCAGTTCTAATTGATATTTGCGTTGTCGTCCGATACATTGAGTATCGGACATGAAGTTCCTAGCATTACAACTTGTGCCAACTAATTGTTGTACTCCACCTGTACTTATACTTGTGACAGCCGGCGCACACTTCTCAGTGGTGAGGACCGGTTGAGTGGGGGATTTAGAGGGGGTCAGGGGGGTCTTCCCCCCCCCTTCAGTTTCTAAAAAATATATCACACCAATATTCCGCTTTGAAATTAGAATTGTGACTAGCTAAATCGTAATTCTAAACCGAATCAAATGGCACTGTTTGCTCTTCAAAACGCCGCAAAATTTTTGGGGCCTTTTAATAGGCCCCAAACCCTACACCAAACGGGTGATGGTCGGCTTCGCATCCGAGACCTGTCGTTCCAGATCCTCCCCCTTTCAAATAACCCTGGATCCGCCCCTGCGGTTGAAAGGTGAGCGCCGGTTGACGCAGGTATAGATGGAAAGAAAAATTTTTCTGATAGTGCTGCCATTCATACGTGCATTTCAGGTCGTGGGAAGCTTATAAAAACGGGTTTGGTAACATTGCCAGCGACCACTGGCTGGGATTGGAAGCGTTTCATCGTCTTACCAATCAAGGGGACTACTCCTTAATGATCGAAGTCAGGGACATGCTGACCGACTCTTACTTTTGGAACATCCATGAACGTTTCCTTATTGGTTCAGAAGGCGATCAATACCTTTTAAAGGTATCGCATTCTAATGAGGGCAACCTGACGGATAAGTTATGGTATTATCACCTCCGGAGATTTTATACCTATGACAATGACAATGATATAAACTGTAGCCAGAAGTTTGAGGGAGGATGGTGGTATAATAAATGTACCACCGTCACTCTTACTGGTAAGATGGCGGTTCCGGGGCACTGTTTGTCAAGTTGCTTTTTCTGGTTCAAACACTCCGGTTTGCCCGGTAAAAATGGCGAAGACAGTGTTTTATTACGTTGGGCTGTTATGAAGATTAAAATATAACGAGGTTTTGTTGTAAAATAATGTAAGAAAAAAATCGTGCTTTCGTCTCTTGTTCATTTTATATCTAACATCAGTATCAATCTGATAGAAATTTTTATCCAAGTCTAGACTTGATGATGAATAACTTGTGATTGAAAATTAAGAAAGGTTGTCGTAATTGGCAGAATAGATTTCTTTAAAGAATAATCATAGCTGTGTGTATTGATGTACGTAAATACACTTATTTTGTGGTCATGTACTTCATACTACTTGATTTCACCGGTAGGTCATGCTGCTATAAGAGTTCTATTAAAATACATGTGTTATCTCTGTGTTCTTTTTTAATATCTCAAAAGTGTTGTCCGCACCACAAGGACTAACTGACGACATAATTTTGCACTCGGGTATAGGTGGCGCTAATGCTGACGTCGAGCAAGGATCATCACAATCCTTTTTTTCCCTTTTTAAATGTGTTTTATTGAATTTTTTTGCCTTAAAATTGTACATAAACACAAAACAATTATGAAACAAATCAAGGTGGAGATGAAAAGAGATGGTATCGACTTAACTTTATTTTTGTGGGTCAAAATGGCACCTAACTGCCTCGTAGAAAAGGGCGTTTTGTCACCTTGATATTTCCGTTCTTTCCTGCTACCTCTGGGTGGGACAGAGAGTATTATGAGCTTGACATGGAGGAACTTAGTTTCTATGCTAAAACCAAAATTCTCCTTTAAGCAAATGTTTGAGTTATTTAATGTCATTCAGAAGCATACGTAAATTATCGCGCCGTATTCATTTGCCGCCACGAGAGAACATCAATAATTGTGTGAAATATACTTATTAAAAGGGCCGAACATGACTTATACGTGTTACACGCTTTCTGCTCGGCTAACATTATGTTGTTTGCCAAGTATATACAATTGCTTTGCCATGGTAATCAACGACACAAACAGTCAATTTTCGATTTTAACTCGTGTAATCTCGAAAAAACTATCATTCAAAATCACGAGAGGTTTGGAGAAAGGCGAAAGTCGTATTATGAGTATATGAGGTATAGGAGACAAAACGTGAGTGTTTAATCATTCTTAAACCCGAAAATATTATAGAAGTCCATATCAGATATGTTAGGAAGATTACTGGTGATATGCTTAGCTATGAGCAGCACAGTCTGCATTCTGAATCACATTACAGAGGAAGATTCGCATCCAAATGCACGATTGTTCCTATTCAAACGGGGAAAATATCTGTCAGGGTCTGTTTTGGACAGAACGACGCAGAACAGTAGTGTTGAGTGTGCCAATCTCTGTGAGAAAAATACCCAGTGCAAGTCTTTTAACATGAGATTGGACGATATGACATGTGAATTGAATACAGGTACAGAGTTCGACACTAGTTCCACATCTCTTGTTGATGATACTGAAAGCACTTACTACATGAAGGTAGGTCATATGCATTTTGTGGCAAGCTAAGTTTTAAAATAGTGAGCGTACAAAAGGGAGGGGGTGTCGTGGGATTTGTGAGCTTCTGCCTTCATATTACTTTTGCACAAAAAAAAAACAAAAAAAAAAACAAACTCGTCGTACTGCTGCTATTTTCGTTCGAATGTGTGCCTGTTTTATGTGTGATGTCTTCTACCCGGTAAGTTAGGTGTTTTGATTGAAAGTTTCAAACTTCAGTTAAGGGCCGGGTGAACCAGTTTCATGATTGCAATACATATTTTGTATTTTTGTTTAACTTATTATTTCTTGGTCAAAGGATCAGGCGGACAAATAAAACCTTGTATTTCTGTGTATTTGTTTTAGATTCCAAAGGACTGTGCTGATTACAGTAAGTAATATTTTTCAATATGTTTCCTTGCCCAATGGTCGAAATAATTATAGAAGTGCAATTTCAAAACAAAAAAATCCCCATTTTTCAAACCTATACTGGAAAAGCGTTTATCAAATGTTTGTTTTTGTGAGTGGCCAGAGTTTTTTTATTCATATTAAAAATGGGAAAATAAGAATCAAGCAGTGTCAAACTCTATATGAATTTATACATGAAATGTTGGCGAGTTCATGTAGTGCAATATCGAAGTAAAGTCAGATATAAGCGGTGAAAAAAAAGAAACAAAAGTGAAAACTATGGCGAATATAGATAGGAATAACTACATGTACGATACAGGTGGTAAGAGGGTGCCCGGATAAAGGGCACCACGAAGATTTGCCTCATTTGAGAATACGATGGTTAGATGGTTATAGAAACAGCCATGGGTCAATTTCCGTTACATTTCAGACTTGGATGGTGGTGTGTTTTGGATTCACGTTCATTCCATGAGAAAGGCAATTCAAGTTTATTGTGAACGGGGATGGACGGTTCTTATGCGAAGGACTGGTCCGGAATTAGACTTCAACAGGTAAACGGAAAAACCCATGAACTATGATTCTGAGAAAAATTAAGTTAAAAACTGAGCGGAATCTAGTTATATTTGCCAATGAAGATTGGTGCATAATGAACCAAAGGTGACTTATTTTTAACCAAAGTTCAAGCTTTGTTTCTGTTCAATAAAGGACATAGGCATACTTATGATATCGGCGAGCTTTTAGGCAGGATAAATGTAGTGCCTTTCAGCAGCGCTCAGCTCTAATTGATATTTGTGTTGTCCTCCGATACATTGAGTATGGGTCATGAAGTTCGTAGCATTACAACTTGTTCCAACTAATTGTTGTACTCCATCTGTACTAACACTTCTCAGTGGTGAGGACCGGATCGGTAGCGGATTTAGAGGGGGGTCAGGGGGGTCTTCCCCCCCTTCAGTTTCTAAAAAACATATCACACCAATATTCTTGAAATTAGAATTTTGACTAGCTAAATCGTAATTCTTAACCGAATCATAAGGCACTGTTTGCTCTTCAAAACAAAAAATTTCGGGGCCCTTTAGCAGGCCCCAAACTCCACACCAAAGGGGTGATGGTCGGCTTCGCATTCGAGGCCTGTCGTTCCAGCCCCCCCCCCCCCCCC